TTTTTTTTTTTTTTTTAAATATATATATATTTGAAAATTTAACATGCAAATTCATAGGTGTGCAAAACATATTTTGGTTCAATTGTTTTTACATTGAGATGCAATTTGAGATATTATTTTTCACAAGTTTGTTTGTTTGTTTTTTTGAATTGAGGCACTTTTGCATTGAATTGTAACAAATTAAATATATATATATATATATATGAAAATCGACAAGCCAAATTGTATATTTCGGTGAGGTTTATTGTATTTCTGCTATTTTAGTGTATCAAATTTTCGGTTAAGTTTTGTTTATTTATTTTATATTTCAGTTCGATTCATTTTTTTATAAGTTCAGTTTTCTTATTTATTTCAGCGGCTCGGCTCGATTTTGTGGCGAAATGTATGTACCTCGCCCCTGGCAAATTCGAACATGCTTAGAGATTGAATTTAAATATTTTAAAACGAAAATTGGTTCCATAATTTTTTGTCCCATAATTAATTATACTATTCTTTTAATGTGCAACCATTCTTATATTTTTTAGTGATATACATAAATAATTGCATTTATAATTATAAAAAAATAGAAAATCTGATAGTGCAGCGGAATCTTCCAGCATATAATTTGATTTAATATTAAAAAGGACACAAAATGGAACTCTGGTTTGATGAAAATTAAACCAATTAACTAAACCCATGGGAATATAAAAAGTATATGCTTCAATAATTGCAAATTGACTTCAGACTATGTAGCAATGATGAGTTAATGACAATGCACCATTTCAAGATTAACTTACAACTTTAGAGGTTTATTTCAAATGTTAACATATAATTGTGTAATATGATTACATAAAAGTACATTACAATATGCTTAAAAGTAAAATATATTATATGCAAAAAATAAGCCACTCATAAGATAAGAGAGAAAAAGAATACATTAAATGTATAACAATTATAGTTTGATGCTTTAGGATTGCAACTTGGGTTACTATACTCTATTTATTAAATATTTGAGTTTTGAAACTATAGAGTTGCTAACTTGAATGAAACTATACTCTATTTATTAAATATATGTATGTTTGTCTAACCATTGTGACTGACTAGCAATATTATTAAAAAAAATAGTGGGGATATTACTAAGAAAGCAAAAATAAATGAGCAATGAAATTAGGTAATGAGTTGAAAAGGTTTCACTTTGGCCAACCATATCAGTACTCACTTAATTAGAAGTTAGAAGGATTACAATGCCAAATTCAAATTGTGGTTCTCTATTAAATTTTTTTAATTGATCAGTTTATTACTAAATGTACATATAAATATGCATGAATGCTCAATTAGGTATCTTTTAAAGAAGTTTCTCAATTAAACCAAATTCTATGTATATATTTTTGCATATTCCACCTGTGGTAGGTTAATTGGGTGTTTGTTCCTCCAAACCAATCAAGATGCAAAATCACAACAGATAGTTTGGTGAGAAGCAATGCTATAACACCAGAAATTGATTGCTACATTTTTTTTCTATCTTTTTTTCCAAGGTAGTATACATAATACATATAAATATAATATATCATGTTCCTCTACATTAAAGTCATGAAAACTAAAAGCAATTCTCCAAAGAAGTAAAGATTTTTTTTTTTTATTATTATTATTTCGGTATCATGTTGAATTATGCCTAGAGTACCACATTTTGTTCTGGCAAATCAATGCTCGTTTGCTCGAAAATGCTGGTAATGACAGAGTAAAAGGTTCGATAAACAGAGATTATCGAGAGCGAATTGAACTCGACGAGCCTCATGATTATCTCTCGGGACTAACGAGACCGCCAAAATCCCCCGGTCGAGCAAATCACCACTCCAGCTGGCAACCTTAA